CCGTAAAGCAGGACCTTCTCCCCTGCCCCACCTTCCTCTCTGTCCCAGGGCACTTTAACTTGATTACTGTTAACAAAAGTCCTACAGTTGAGTTGACTCCGTATAATGGAAAAACTACTTTTACAACATAATCACACAGAAAATATTTTGATATAATGGATGGAAAATTACTTTCACTAGAGACTACATTAAATTTTATAGAAATGCTAAATAATTTGAAAGGCAGTATAAGCAGCTGACTTTCTGAGGCAAAATTCTATTTCCAATCTAAACACCACTACTAACATCTGGATCCTGCAACTGAGAGATGTAGTCTTTCACCCTTTCCATTCCATTTCTTTAGACAGATTTGGGTCTTCCAACATTATCCTCTTTCAAATATCCTTCCAAGACGGAATAACAACTATACAGTATCAGATTAGCTTTAGTAGAGGGCAAACGTGTGAATACAAGACTACAGAATTAAACTAGTTATCTGTTTAAATTCCATTAAGAATGTATTTCACTACTGTAAATATCTTGCTGTAACAAAAACTGTTTCTGAAGGAAACATTCAGATATCCTTGCATTCAATAAATTTATATTTTAAGAAAGTTGATGTGGCTCAGAAATTATATTTGCGGTGTGCTCATGCTATGTGAATAGTATGTTTTCAGTTAAAATATCTCTTTTTTCTCAGTAATTTTTTAACTTAAGACACTGTGATTTATAAAGCTATTCATAACAGATTTCAGGCATACAGTGTGACAGCACCAATCCGACCACCAGTGTCCCCAGGGTCCCTGCCATCCTATAGTCTGCCCCTTTGGCAGGCATCTAACAACTTTATTTCATTTTGCTTGCTCCAACAAAACTTAAAGATGGCAAACAGAATATAAAGATAAATCAACAAATCAATTTGTAGTAATCAATTATGATATGATTTTAACCTAAGTAAATAAGGAAATACAAATCTTTTTTTTTTCCTTTTTGGGTCACACACGGCGATGCACAGCATTACTCCTGGCTCTGCACTCAGGAATGACTCCTGGCGGTGCTCCGGGACCATATGGGATGCTGGGAACCAAACCCGGGTCGGCCACATGCAAGGCAAACACCCTATCCGCTGTGCTATTGCTCCAGCCCCAGAAATACAAATAATTTAATACAATATAGTATACTGTGTATTCTCATTTACATAACAAAGGTTTCAACTCTGGCACCTAAATATTGCATTAAATTTTATTTTATAATTGAACCTGATTGTGGTGATCATCATCTTTTCCCTGTCATAACTGAGGTTTCTTTTATTTTCCGGCCCCTTTGGCAAGCATATGGCAAACTTTTTTCATATTAGTTGGTCCAAGAAAACTTCGAAGAATCGCAAATAGAATTATTAGAAAATAAATCAATGAAAGTCATTTTGTGATGATTAATGCTATATATTTTTAACCCTTCTTAATCTAGTAGAAGACAACCATATACACCACTAAAGAGTGCTACATTCAATTCCACAGGAGGTGAAGTTTAACCTGTCCTTTAAAGGAGTTCTATTATTGCTTCTTGAAAACTGGACAGCCCTTTTGGAAAACAGTATGGACGATTCTCAAAAAATTAGAATTTGAGCTTCCATTTGACCCAGCAATACCACTCCTGGGAATATATCCCAGAGAGGCAAAAAAGTATAGTCAAAGTGACATCTGCACTTGTTTGTTCATTGCAGCACTCTTTACAACAGCCAGAATCTGGAAAAAAACCTGAGTTCCCAAGAACAGATGACTGGTCAAAGAAACTTTGGTACATCTACACAATGGAGTACTATGTAGCTGTTAGAAACGATGAAGTCATAAAATTTATATACAAGTGGTATTACATGGAAAGTATCATGCTAAGTGAAATGAGTCAGAAAGAGAGGGACAGACATAGAAAGATTGCATTCATCTGGGAAATATAAAGTAACAAAATAGTAGACTAACACCCAAAAATAGCTGAGATAAGTACCAGGAGGTTCACTACATGGCTTGGAGGCCAGCCGCACATGCTAGGGGGAAAGGCAGCTCAGACAGAGAAGGGAGCACCAAATAAAGGGTGTTGGGAGGATCCTCCCAGGATGGGAGATGCATGCTGAAAGTATAGACCAAACATGATAGCCACTCAATGCCTCTTTTGCAAACCACAGCACCCAAAAGGAGAGAGAGAACAAAAGGGGATGCCCTGCCACAGAGGCGGGGTGGGATGGGGGGATGGGGGGTGGGAGGGAAAATGGGATCCGTGGTGATGGGAAATGGGCACTGGTGGACGGATGGGTATTTAATCATTGTCTAATTGAAACCCAAGCACAAAAATTTGTAAGTCTACAACTGTACCTCATGATGTCTCACTAATAAAAAAAAAAGGCTATGAATTCCCTGAGCTGTTGCCTGTCCATGAGGCTCTGTGTAGTTCCTTCAATCTGAATAATAATTTAGCTGAATCGAATATTCTTGGTGAGGTGTTCAGTTTACTGAATTTTCCATATTCCATATTCTTCTGGCATATGGAGTCTCATTGATAGATCTGCGGTTCACCTTATGGGCTTTCCTTTTTAGTTCCTTTTTGATCTTGCTGCTTTCAATATTTCATCTCTACTTTTAGTTTTTGTCATTTTGAGTACAATGTGTCTCGGAGTTTTCCTAATTGGGTCTATTTTCACTGGGACCCCTCAGGCTTCTTGGATTTCAGTGCCTGTAATCCACAACTCTGGGAAGTTCTTATCAATGATTTCTTTACCTATTGTTTTTTTCATGACATATGCCTTCTGTTCTCCAATGTTTTGGTTTTTTTTTTTTCTTTTTGGGTCATACCCGGTGATGCATAGGGGTTACTCCTGGCTCATGCACTCAGGAATTACTCCTGGCGGTGCCCAGGGGACCACATGGGATTCTGGGAATCAAACCTGGGTTGGCCGTGAGCAAGGCAAACACCCTACCCACTGTACTATCCTTCAGCCCCTCCAATGATTCTCATACTGTTCCTTCTGAACTCATTCCATGGTTCTCTGCTATGCTGCATCTTGGTCCAGTTCAAATATCTTAAAGAACCTTATTATACATGCTATGAAATAATAAGAAATTTAATGATAAGTGAATTTATAGTAACGATCACGATCATCCTGTTGTTCATCGATTGCCTCGAGCAGTCACCAGTAATGTCTTCTTTGTCCTAGCCCTGAGATTTTAAAAAGTGCCATATTCAAGGCTCTTACAGGGTTAGGAGAATGAGACCCATCATTGTTACTGGTATTTGGCATATTGGGTACGCCACGGGGAGTTTGCCAGACTCTGCCGTGTGGACAGGTTACATTCGGTAGGGCAGCCTGTCAAGTAGTCCAAAGTAAGAATGAGATAGTAAGATGCTTCCGGGAACTGGGTTTTATAGTCTCTGGGTCTTGGCCGTTGATGGGATTACACGGCACCAGGGGGCAGTTGGTGGGCGTGACCCCTGCCTACTGGAATTTGGAAGATCTGGGTGGAGGATGCTCAACCCCGATCCGAGCAGGCTTGGAAATCTCAGCCCCGGGACCTGCATGCCTTTGTTCCTCTTCTGGTACCTTCATGAATTTATAGTAAATACAATGAAAAATCTGTTCTTACTACCTAATGCTTCTATGGAGCACAGTCCTGCTGTCTTGTTCTGTTTCAGACTAACTCATGTGCAACACTGGGCAGCAAAAGAGCTGTAAGTGATCAGGCTATGAAGAAAACTGTCTAGTAACTGAATGGGCAAACAGTTCCTGCTGTCAAAGATACTACCTCTGAAACATGCCAGAATGTGTATGTGTTTTATTTATATTCTGATAGATCATTCATACTTCCAATTGGGATCTTTTAAAAAGTATAACCATTTTATTAACTTTGGGTCCTAATTTCCCTTTCCAAAAAGATCAAAGAATAAGGCAACTCTATGGTCCCAAACAATTTTTTTTTAAACCATCTATACAGGAGTTTTTATTAGAGTATCATGGAGTACCTCAAAAGTTATGTTACAAAACAATCAAACTGAGGAATGTATTCATTCTTCTAAGACCAACTACATAAAGAATTTACTGACTGAAGAAAAAGTGACTCCATATTCTGTTTACCTTTCCAGACAGTAAGAAGCAGACTTACTTATTCTAAAAATTTAGTTACAAAGATCCTATGCAAATTGTCCCTGAACCTAAAACACGCAAGACTCAGAAAACTAGAGTTACTTTCCTGCCATGCCATATTATACTGATTTTTCTTTAAAGTATAATTTTTCTACTGTACATCTGACAACCAGGTTTTACTACAACCTTGAGGGCCCACTTATGAAACCTCAAAGATACAGTATGATGCGTAAAGTCTTGCTAATGCCTTAGGAATGTTTTGTTAAGGCCACCTGAGTCATTGGTGATCTTTCAAATTCATGAGAACATATAAAACTCACTAAGCCAACTGGAGAGTGAGTTCACAGAGCTGGAGTGCGGGTCCTGCATGCTCGAGGCCCTAGGTTTGATCCCTGGCACCACATGACCCCTATACACTGCCGAGTATGCCCTATAGGCCCCAGTACCTGATGGCCTGAGCGGCACTGCACCATCAGGCCTGAATGCTGTACCGTGCAACCTGGTTTGGCCAAATATCACTAGGAGTGGTGCTGAGGTCGCAGAACACTGCTTGGGAATCCTCCCCCCACATTTTTACAAAGCCAGCGAAGAGCAAACAAAAAAAGCACAGACCCACTTAATTTCCTTTTCTTTCTTTCCTTCTTTCTTTCTTTCTTTCTTTCTTTCATTCTTTCTTTTTTATTAATTTTGGGGAGATTTGGGGGCAACATCTGGTGATACTCAGGGTTCATTCCTGGTAGTATTCAGAGACAATGCAGTGCCAGGAATTAAAGCAGGGTCGACAGCAGGGAGGGTTAATGCCTTAACCTCTATGCTATTTCTCCAGCCCTTGGTTAAAGAAGTATAAAAATAAAAAAAAAATTTTTTAAACCAAATTGGAACAACTACTTACTTTTTCCAGGTCTTTGGTGCAAAGCTCCGAAGGCAACCTCCTTTCCCCCACCACGTCTCTTCATTAATAGCAATCACTCATGAGGTCAGACAGCCCAAATATATCTAGAAATTGAGTAGAGACAAAAATTGAAACGCACATATTGGGCATAAAAATTCAGAGCACCCAAGTGCTATCTGGGGCATTTATGCATAATTTAAATACAGATTTCTCCGGAATATCTCAATGATGCGCAACACTGGCTATTTTTCTTTCAGAACAATGCTAACAAGACTTGCTAAATCTAGATCATACTTTCATCTGTCATTTTATTAAAGTTCCCAAAGTGGGAACCAACAAGTCTTCTTGGTGAAAATGTCCTTTCTCAAGAGTCAGGAAAGGCGACAACAGAAGGATATGAGCCTGTGACCCTACTGTGACTCAGAAGAAAGTCGCCCTGCGTCCCACGGGCCTGCCCCCTCCTTCCAAAATCAAGCTTATCTCCCAGTACAGAAGCAGAAATAAACGGCAACTTATAAATAATTATTCAACTTTTAAATGCCCTTAGAGGTATATGAGTGCTTTATTTCTGCAGGTGGAAGTGAAAAGAGAGTCGTGTTTTTTTTTGGGGGGGTGTGATATAGGCCACAGTCCTGGCTCTGTGCTCAAGGATCACCCCTGGCAGAGTGTAGGGGACCAAGGATTGAACGCAGGTTAGTTTCCTGCAAGAGAATCTGCTGTACTACTGCTCTGGGCCCCAGTGTTGATATTTTCTTTAAAAAGCCAAAACTTTGAACATTCTGCTTGATAATAATCTCATTAAAAACATTACTTCCCTGGGCTAGAGAGATAGTACAGAGTTAAGGCACTTGCTTTGCATGCAGCTGACCCCAATTTGATACCTGGCACTATATATGGTCCCCCAACATTGGGAGGAGTGATCCCTGAACACAGCACAGGTGGTCCCAAAACACAAACAAACAAAAATTACTTCCCCAACAATCCTGTGAATACACAAATAATAAGACATCCATAAGATTAAAACATCCACACAGGTACATTCTGACATTTGCACACCCCTTGGCCTTGCCCATCCCGGGGGCCTTATGTTAGAGGTAATTTTCAGAAGATAAAATCATTTAAAAGCCGCAAGAGACTGAGAAGTGGTTCAATTAAAAAGAAGCAGAAAGTACCACTAAGAGCAGGTAGACGTTAACTGGGACTCCCACCCACATCAATATGCTTCATTTATTCTAACTATCGTTGCTACTGCTGTCAATCACCATGGCTGTCAATGTGTGCATAATGCCAACCAGACCCTTAGGCCAGACCCTTCTCAAGTGTATGGATGTGTATGAACTCTCCCAGGACAGCAGCAAGCAGAAAACTCGCTAGACATCACCCCTCACCACCCAGCACATTGAGTTTTGCTCTAAGGCTGGTGTTCGGTCCTGTAAGTTTACTTTTTGTCCACGTGCACAGAGGACAGCCCAATGGGCTGGACACACAACCTGGTCATGACTTTGATCTCACACCACAGTGCTTGGGAGTACTGCTGGATCCAAGCATCCGAGTAATACCAAGAGTGGTCCAGGATGCATGAGCACTATTAGGGAGCCATCACTCCCAAAACATTAAGGACAGGGGCAAGGAAAATAGCTCAAAGGGCTGAGCACATGCTTTGCATGCAAGAGGCCCAATTGAACCCAACATTTCAAGGTCCACTGAGCACCACCAAAAGTGACCCCCATCCACCAGAGCACAGAGCTAAGAGCAGCCCTACAGCACTGCCAGATGTGGCTCAAAAACAGAATATTTTTTTAAAAAAACTGTTTAAGGATATGATCAAAGATTTCATATTCTAAACGTTCTTTTTTGTTTGTCTTTGTTTTTGATTTTTGGGTCACACCCAGTGATGCATAGGGGTTACTCCTGGCTCTGAACTCAGGAATTACCCCTGGAGGTGCTCGGGGGGACACTATGGGATGCTGGGAATTGAACCCAGGTCGGCCCGCGTGCAAAACAAACTCCCTACCCACTGTGCTATCGTTCCAGCCTCTCTAAACGTTTTAAACCATTAAAAATATAAGCATTTACATGTATGTGTATACACACACATATACTCATTTAAAACAATAAACAGCTTTTTCTTAATCCGTAAAACATTTCTTAATTGCTTTTCAGGCCAAGTTCACTGAGAACGCATGCTATAGAGCATGATTTCAAGATGGCTCAATTTTATTTAAAGGTACCTATATATGTTTGCCTTGCACGCGGCCGACATGCCTGACCTGGGTTCGATTCCTCCCCCCCCTCAGCCCAGCAAGCTACCAAGAGTATCTCGCCCGCACGGTAAAGCCTGGCAAGCTCCCTGTGATGTATTCGATGTGCCCAAAACAGTAACAACAAGTCTCACAATTTGTTGTGAGACGTTACTCGTGCCCACTCGAGCAAATGGATGAACGGGAGGACAGTGCTACAGTGCTATATATGAAGAAACAATAAAAACTAGAACAAGAAAAAAATCAATATGTGAAAGCTGCTAATTGAAGACAGTAGATTTTTGTTTTCTTTGGGTTTGGGGGGGGGGAGGGAGGTGGGCCCTCACCTTGCAGTACTCAGGGGTCACTTCTGGATCGATGCCCAGGCTTGACCCCTGGGGTTGCTCAGAGATGGAATCAGCTTCACAGCCAAAATGCCTTATGTGTTTTGGTCACAACCAAAAACACACAAGGCAAGTGCCTTCTCTCCTAGACTGTCTTTCCAATTCCAGTTTTTATTTTCTTTGTATTTTTCTGTGGTGCTAAAATTTTTGACATTCACTACACCTACTTGTATGATTAAAAATAATAATGTTATGTAAAAGGAGAGCTCAGATGTTTAGGTGGAAAATTCACTTTTTATCCACGTTTACCCCACATATGAATCCAGTCAGTAGAATGAAAGAGGAAAAGCACCAGAAGTTTCCTCCACAAATATTAACAGATCCAGTCACATGAATGAGCCCTTGAAAATATTTTCCTATCTCACATTTCAAGGCACGTACTACCCTAGCAGGGATGTCCAAGTCTATAAATCCATTACAGAAGCCAAAACATAATTGCTTTCACTATTTAGCAAAATCCAGATTTAGCAAAATCCAGATTTAAAAATTATTTTAATCTGACAGTTAATAGACAAGCTCTCTTAATTTCTGAAAGAAATTCTGTTCTGAATGAAGAAGTTGTATTTCAGATAAAGCTTCTTTTACACGAGGTCCAGATTGAAGAAATAGAAGGAGTCCAGGGCTTGGGCACAGAAAGAAATACCTCATTTGGACAGTCTTAACTGGCAAGGAAGAAGAGAGAAACTGATCTTCCTGATCTACCAAAGAACTCAATTGTATCAAAAAATTCCTCAGTAGGGGCTGAAGCTATACAGTACTGCGGGTAGATTGTCTGCCTTGCATGCGGCCGACCCGGGTTCGAATCCCAGCATCCCATATGGCCCCCTGAGCACTGCCAGGAGTAATTCCTGAGTGCAAAGCCAGGAGTAACCCCTGTGCATTGCCAGGTGTGACCCAGAAAGAAAAAAAATTCTCAGTAATACCAGAACTTGACTTCAGAAACAATGCATGAGTGGATACAGTGACTCCTGAAGGTGCTTCTTTCAGTCTCACCCACTGGCTGCACAGAAGAATGGAGAAGTGAGGGGCCAGGCTAAAGGGCCCGTGGGCTGGGGATGGCATCCCACTGACCCCAGCTCAAAACCTGGCACTACATCATGTTACCTGCGCCCAGCTGGGTGTGGCCCCCAAAATACAAAAATTAAAGTAGATAGGGGACCAGAGCTGGGAGCCAGGTCAAAGAGCTGGAGTCCATCCTTTGCATGTAGGGATTCCACTGGGACTCCTAACACCACATGGTCCTCAAGCAATGCCAAGAATGACTCCTGAGCACTGCTAGTACACCAAACCAAATAAGCCAAAAAAGGCATGCCTCATGCAACACACCTGAGTTCACTGTCCCACTCAAAGCTGGTAGTCCATTAAATGATAAGTTCCTCTCCCTTTCCAGTTTAACCTCAGGTGTACTGTCCAGCTAGGAACTCTGTAGACAGTTTCACTGAGACTGTCTCTTCTCAGGAATGTACTGAGGGGGCTGGGCATGAAGATAGCTCGAAGGGCTGAAGTACATGTCCGGCAAGCACATGTTTGATCCCTGGCACTGCATGATGCCCCAGGGCGTATACTGGTTGGAGTCCTGGTGATTCCCAGCACCAGGCAGAGGCCTGTAGGATAACACTCTTTTGTCCTTCCTCAGGTAGCTTAGGTTTGTCAGGTCACACCCATCTAAGAACACTGAACTTGTATTGTAAGCAATGTCCTTTCTGTGTGGACACAGGAAGACAGTTAATATTATGCTTTGTAACTTGGGAGTTGATTGACTCCGAATAATATTTACTCCTGGGCATCTGATTTCTTGACTCAGTTGCCCTTAGTTCCTAGCACCCCAAAAGCAGGGTCCCGACGAGGGACTGAATGGACCCAGGGCAAGCAGTGAGCTACCCTGGCATCGAAATGGGCCAGGCCAAAGAGCCACGATACTCAACTATAAGTTGAGGGCATGATCATGGACAAATGCTGTCATGATCCAAAAGTAAGTAACGACGAAACTAGGACCTTGCTGGAGCTAGGAAGATTAACCTGGCCTGAGGACTGCGAAATGTATAGTGAGATGTTCTCAGGAAGAACCAAACTAAGTTTATATCTCTTACTGTGCTCATACAGAATGACATTGCTAGAAATATTAGAAGTAGATTTATTACAACTATTTAAGTAGATTACTAACTGAGGGAAGAACACACCCTTGTTGGGATCCCACCCTTGGGTGGATCTCCTAGTAATCTGAAGTAATCTCTGTAGATGAGATTTTATCCTTGAGTTAATCTCCTGGAGGAGTGGTCTTACCTCTCTTTGTTGATTTGTCAGTATTCAACCCACCTTTATGTCACCGCCTTATGTGACTGCTATATAAACTAAGACATAAGCTCGGAAAGGGAGTCAGAAGCGAGAGAGCTCGGGCTCCAGAGATCCAGAGTCAGAGCCAGAAGGAGAGAGCTTCCAAGACTGGGGCCCAGGAGAGAA